AAGACTGAAGAGAGAGGAAATGGAAAGACAAGAGAGGCTAGAGAAAGAGAAACTAGCATATCAGTATGAAATAGAAATGAAGAAGCTAGCGATACAGACGAAATTTGGAGTAGGCTCGGGTAGTGAAAAGCATAGTGAAAATTTTGTGGTTACAAAGCATATTAGGTTAGTGCCTCCATTCCAAGAAAAAGATTTCAATAAGTACTTTTTGCATTTCGAGAAAATAGCTAGTAATCTTAAGTGGCCCAAAGAGTACTGGGTAATGTTATTACAAAGTGTATTGGTTGGTAAAGCAAGGGAAATATATACACAGTTAAGTGTAGAGCAAGCTGCAAGTTACGACATTGTTAAGGATCTTATTTTAAAGGATTACAAGTTAGTTCCTGAGGCATATCGTCAAAAGTTTAGAAACTCTGAGAAAGTCAGTTGTGAAACTTACGTAGAATTTGCTAGGAGTAAGGAACAGTTAGTTGATCGTTGGTGTCATTCACGGAAGATAGGCAAGAGTCGCGATAAGTTAAGACAGTTAATATTAGTTGAAGAATTTAAGAGGTGCATTCACAGTGATGTCCGAACCTTCATCAACGAGCAAAGAGCGTTGGAAGATGCAGCACGGTTAGCTGATGAATTCTCATTGAGTCACAAAGTGAACTTCATGGGAAAGCCCTGTCAGCCTCACAGTGAAATTCAGTCTCTATCTGCATCACGATGGCTTGGAAACCAGAGGAGTAAACAGAACGACGGAGCACATCCCAAACAGAACCCTAGTAACAACTCTACAAACCGTTCCAGCTCTACCCCGTCAAGATTAAACCGGTTTGTTCCAAATAAGCCCGTCAAGCCACCAACCTATTATTATTGCAGGAAAGAATGTCACCTGATTTCCAGTTGCCCAGAAAATTGGAGAGCCGCGCAAAAACATGGTGTGGAGCCGAAGCCTAATGGATTTGTTGCTAAGCCGTCGCCTTTAGTTTCTGAAAGTGAATGTGTACGTCCGCAATTTCTTCAAGAGAAGACCCAGACAATCTCTACAAATGATGTCAGTGGTTCGTCTAAATCTGTCATGGATATGTTCCTGCCCTTTATTCACGATGGTCTAGTATCACTATCCCGTGATATGTCACATTCAGTACCGATCAAGATTTTAAGAGACACTGGAGCCTCGCAGTCTTTACTGCTAAGGTAACACTTTGTTGTTTTCTGAGAAATCGTCCACTGGTGCAGGAGTTCTAATCAGAGGAATCAGTTCCGAGTTTACCCCAGTTCCGCTCCATACAGTTTTCCTATCGTCGGATCTTGTGACTGGTCCTGTGAAAGTTGGAATACAACGGACACTGCCATTTGATGGAGTACACCTTATCCTCGGAAATGACCTCGCAGGAGACAAAGTGATCGTTAATGCTATCGTTACAAAGAAGCCTAGTTCAGAAACGTCTCCAGATCCAGCTGAGAAGATAATTCCTGGTCTTTACCCTGCATGTGTGGTAATGCGAGCCATGAGCAAGAAGACGAAAACCAGTGATGAAGAAATTGCCCTAGCAGACACCCTTATCAGTCGAGTTGTTGAGGATGAACAATCAAATCCCTCCGTTTCTGAGCCAACAGAAGTCCTACTGAGAAGAGCCTAGCAGATCAGTCTGAGAAGATGTCGACCTCTCAGCTCATTGTGTGACAACATGAGGACCCTGAAATTTTGTTGCTATTTGTAAGAAGTATAAGTGAAAACGAAGCATCACAGAACCCCACCTGTTATTTTACGAAGAATGGAGTGCTAATGAAAAAGTGGAGACCACCTGATGTTCCAGCTAAGGATGAGTGGGCTGTTAAGTACCAGATTGTTGTCCCAAAGACTTGCAGGCAAGAAATTTTGAGTATGGCGCAGGAGACTCCCCTGGCTGGCTACTTGGGTGTAAACAAGACTCACCAGAAGATCGTGGAGCATTTCTATTGGCCCAACCTGAGAAAAGATGTAGCCGAGTACTGCAGGTCTTCTCACGCCTGTCAGATGGTTGAGAAACCAAGCCAGACCATTCCAAAAGCACCACTGCAGCCTCTGGAAGCCGTTCAAGAGCCATTCAGACAAATTATTGTTGATTGCGTTGGGCTGCTACCAAGGACGAAGTCTGGTAATCAGTACCTGTTAACGATCATGTGTACATCCACTAGATTCCCTGAAGCTATGCCCCTTAGAAATATCAAGGCCGAGACCATCGTCAAAGCTTTAACAAAGGTCTTTACGCTAGTCCGTCTTCCTAGTGGACATGAAGTTAGAACTAAGGTTCTAACTTCATGTCTGGTATTTTCCAAGAAGTAATGCACGAGTTTGGAATCGCACAGTATAGATCATCCGCGTACCATCCCCAAAGTCAGGGAGCTCTTGAAAGATGGCACCAGACTTTAAAGCACGTGATGAGAGTCTACTGTTTCGAAACAGAGAAAGATTGGGATAAGGGAATCCACTTATTGCTGTTTGCGGCACGCGAGTCTCTCCAGGAGTCTCTGGATTTAGTCCGTTTGAGCTCGTATTTGGGCACACTGTGAGAGGACCTCTTAAATTACTTAAGGAGAAGTTATTGTCAAGCAGTAGTGAGTCTATTAATCTATTACAGTATGTTTCATATTTTCGCACTAAGCTATCTAGAGCTTGTGAACTAGCCAGCGATAATCTTAGTTCTTCTCAGAAGTCTATGAAGGAGAAGTACGATATCGACGCTGTAGAACGTAGTTTTGAGCCAGGTCAAAAGGTTCTTGCATTGTTGCCAGTGCCTGGTAACACATTGTATTCTAGATTCTTTGGTCCTTATGTTATTGAGAAGAAGTTAAATGACCTTAATTACATATTAGTTACTCCAGATAGGCGTAAACATGTTAAAACGTTACTTCGAGAGAAATAATAATTTAGTTAAAGAGCCCGCAAGTATCAATGTAGTTATTTCTGAGCCTGAAAACTTAAGTAGTGAGTTTAGTAATAGGCATCTCAGTCCTACTGACACATCAAAACTCACAAACTCCAATGTGCTGAAGAACTTGGACTCCAAGCTGTCACACCTTGAAGAGAGTCAATGCGAAGACCTGCAGGAGCTGTTGAAAAGTATAGAGACCTGTTTCCTGACGCACCATCTAAGAAAAATCAGATTTTCCATGACGTGAATGTCGGCGATGCTGCTCCTGTTAAACAACATTCATACAAGTTAAATCCAAGAAAGCAACAGTATCTCAAGGAAGAGATAAAGTATCTATTGGAGAAGGATTTCATCGAACCAAGTAGCAGTAGTTGGAGTTCTCCATGTATACTTGTTCCAAAACCAGATGGAAGCTAAAAGATGTGTACCGATTACAGGAAAATTAATGGTGTAACCAAGACAGACACCTTTCCGATTCCAAGAATGGATGATTGTATCGACAAGGTGGGAAAGGCAAAGTATGTAACAAAGTTCGACCTTCTAAAAGGATTCTGGCAAGTACCGCTAACGGACCACGCTAAGGAGATCTCAGCATTTGCAACCCCAGAAGGACTTTATCAGTACAAAGTCATGCCTTTTGGTATGAAAAATTCTCCTGCCACTTTCCAACGTCTCATTAACAAAGTCATTGCCGACTTTGAGGATTGTGAAGCATATATTGATGATGTGATCATCTACAGTGAAACGTGGGAGCAACATCTAAAAACTATCTGCGTGTTCTTCAAGAGGTTGAGCAAGACCAAGTTAACCATCAATCTTCCCAAAACCGAGTTTGGTCAAGCGCAAGTTACATATTTGGGACATGTTGTCGGATGTGGTCAACTAAAGCCAGTAAGCGCCAAGGTTGAAGCCATAATCAAGTTTCCATGACCAGAAAGCAAAAAACAACTGATGCGTTTCCTTGGTATGGCTGGTTACTATCGAAGGTTTATTACTCAGCAAGAAGGTGAAATTTAATTGGAGTGTTCGGTGTGAAAAGGCTTTTAAGGAACTGAAAGCCATGTTACAAAGTGCCCCTGTTTTATCAGTGCCTGATTTCAGTTCACCATTCAAGTTAGCTGTTGATGCAAGTGATGTCGCCGCTGGTGCCGTGTTGTTACAAGAGGATGATGAAGGTGTAGAACATCCAGTTTGTTATTTTCTCAAAGAAATTCAACAAAAATCAAAGAAACTATTCCACCATCGAAAAGGAATGTTTGGCACTAGTGTTAGCTCTTCAACATTTTGAAGTATATGTTGTTTACAGCGATCACAACCCGCTCGTATTTCTTCATAAGTTAAAGGACAAGAATCAGCTATTGTTGAGGTGGAGTTTAATACTATAGGAGTATGTCTTGGACATCCGACATATAAAAGGAAAAGACAATGTTATTGCAGACTACCTCAAGATTTTGAGTTTTGCAAGAAAGTTTTGCAAACTTTCTTTTCTCTAAGGGG